TAATATAAATAAAGAAGGTAAAATATATACTATTATTCATTTTTAAAACGTTGAGTCAAAGTAAACTCTTGAGTTTATAATCTTTCGATTTTTTTAACTCCAAATTTTTTCCAAGCCTTTCCATACGTTAGACCAAACTCTCTTTATTCTTCCAATACAAGGTTAAATTTAATATTTTTATTTATGAATCTTACCTAGTTCAATAAGGAAAGATTTAATAACCAAAATTTAGTTTAAAGTCCTAAATATTAGCGTGTAGTGCTATGTTCTAAATCTAATATGATTATAAAGCTAATATATAGAATTTCGGTTATGTCCTTTTATATGAGTTATTATACTTAACATTATAAGGTTATTTTTGTAATCCGACATTGTATTCATGCTTTTATAATATTATATAAATATATATATATATATATATATATATATATATATATATATATATATATATATATATATATATATTCTTAAATAACAAGTATATTATGATTGACACCCCAAGATTCAAATCTTGCGCAAATGCATTGGTTGATTTGGTGGGCATAACTTGACTTTTAGTGTGGTGTCTGGTCTCGATTTCAACTCTAGCATTTGCTCAAATTTTTATTCGACACTAATGCTTCCGCCAAGTTCAAATCCTGGGTCCCCCACGATGAAGATGGGACGCAAATCTTCAAACAATCTGAAGAAGCAAAGAGCTTCTAAGTTCTAACTAATACAGACATCACATGTCCCACAATATCACTTCTTGAGTTCTGAACTTTGAGACTGCAACTAAACTAACACACTAAATCCCATCAAATTCAACTCCCCTGATTCACGGAACTCTTTTTTTGAGACTTGATATCCCTCTCACGGACTTGAATCTCATTACCCGCCACCCCTCAATCTTATATTTATATTCAATTGCATGTTCCCGCTAAACTACAAACTATAACTTCCTCCCGACCACACTTACAACTTTTGACGTACTGAAGAGCAATTCTTCTCAAAATCTCACTCGAAAGGTACTGAGCTAAAATTCCATTTCGATGGCAGTCACGACGAGTTCCAATTTCAGAGCAAGCACTGAGCTTTTGATCCCTAAGAAATGGAATCATAGGGAGATCACTCCTGAGAGAAACATGATTTGGATTGAACCAAAACCTAAGGCTTTCAAAACTGTCCCTGTTATTTATTATCTTTGCAGAAATGGCCAACTTGAGCATCCTCATTTCATTGAAGTTCCCTTCTCTTCATCTGATGGACTCTATCTCATAGGTAATTGATATACTAACACTATATTGACTGTGATTTATGGAATTTTCCGTGTGTTAAAATTAAAGAGTTTTTAAATATAACACTATATTGACTGTTGATTTTTTATTTTCTCTTGTTCTCAGATGTGCTAAATCAGTTGAATTTACTGAGAGGAAAAGGCATGGCTTATTTGTTCTCCTGGTCTTGCAAGCGGTACTTAATTTAGTTTCTGCAATAAATTATATTTCAGAAAAATCATTTTCTAATGCAATTTTATGTATAAAGTTTGATGATTTTCTACAGGAGCTATAAAAATGGATACGTGTGGCACGATTTATCGGAGAACGAATTGATTCATCCAACGAACGGTCACGATTACGTTCTCAAAGGATCGGAGCTTCTAGAAACTTCGATGAGTTCCCGATTTAGTGAAATTTCACGTTCCGATCACTTGGATGAAAATCGCGATTCTTCTTGTTCGACTACGGCGATCATGAGGAGGAGGAATCAGTCGTGGAGTTCATTCGAGAATCCTCGACAAGAGTACAGTGTAGTGTACAAGTGCGAATCCGGCCGAGAAATCGCCGGGAAATTCAATTCATCGGCGGCAGCAGACGCGGCGACGCAGACGGAGGAGAAGCAGAGGAATGGCGGCGGAACTGTGAGGGAACAGGAGAATAAGAGTGTGGAGCTGAGCAGAGAAGAATTGTCTCCGCCACTGTCGATGGATAGTTCTGATGGAATCGACGGTGGAAGTGGATCGAAGGGCGTTGATCAAACGGCTGAGAATGAGTTTAGCAGTGGTGGTAGAATGAGGGCGTCTCGTGTTGTGATGCAGCTTATCACTTGCGGATCGTCCACCTCAGTTGACTGTTCGATGACAAAAGGCAAAAATAGGGCCAAATATTGATTAGATAATGCTGCTGCCTCGTACTAAAATTATGATTTCTTTTATCTAACTTTTCTTGTTGTCAATCTTTCAACGTGTAATGTGAATTATAGTCCGTTTTCTCAAAAGTACTTTTGGTGAGAAACAGTTTGTGTTTGGTTAATTAATTTGAAAAGCACTTCTGACCAGCAATTAGTGTTTGGCCAAGCTTTAAAAAACTGCTTCTAAGTATATTTTTCTCAAAAGTGCTTTTCAGATAAGTGCTTTTGAAGTAGAA